TTTTAAGCGTGCTGCTGGAGGAGCCCCAGCCGTCCCGCACCCGGTGCTGGGCGCTGCAGGCCCAGCCCTGCCCGCCGCCCTGCCTGCGGTGGGAACCTGTGTCACCCGTGGGTCACAGCCACGCCAGCAGCTCCTGCTAATTAAAGTTAGTCATTGCCACTTGCAGCCACCGCCTACTGATTTCACCTCTGATAGCCAGAAAGACTCACCTTTCAGGACAAGGTCAGGAGGGGCAGAGGCTCTGGTTCACTACGGGGTCGACCTGCCAACAGCACTTAACTCAGCCCTGCGGTTCAACCTCTTCGAGGTTTGACCTGTCACATTTGGGAGCCACGTTTCTGCTCCAGGTAGCATCGTGCTTGCTGCGTGGCTCTCTGACAGCGCACACCCCGCTGCGGTGCCCCAGCACAGACGTGTAAGGGGGACCGGCCAGGGCAAGGTCGTTTGTAGCCTGGCTTTGAACAAGGATGATGACAGAAATACAGGGGACAGGGGAGCTCCCCAGAGCTCTTCCAAAGTGCCACATTTCTGCCCTCACAGGTCAATCTGCTGCTGGTTCTGGAGGGACAAGGTGGATGGTTTCCCCCACTGCTTCCACGCAGGATGCGTGACAGTGAGGAGCAGAGGTGAAGCTGAAAGGAGCTTGTGAACACATTGCAGTGGAGCAAGGACCTGGGCCCAGCTCTTTTCTCAGTGCACAAGCAACAGGACTCACTTCATTTTACATGGGAGAGAAATACCCCGTGTCTTAGCGAGGCAGGTGGTACTCCAAAGCCACCTAAAAAGGTGCCCTCAGCACCCAGGCTTAGCCCCAGGCACCACTTGCTGGATGGAGCCACAGAGCTGCTGTCTTGGCACTTGCCCTGGCAGAGCTAGGCTGCGGGAGGTGACATTGTCAGTCTGGCCAGCCAGCCGCCGTGGGGCCTGTGTCACCTTGCAAATGCCCCCTCTGCAATGTCAACAGCGTCATCATGAACAGAGGACTTTCTACCACAAATCAGACATATTCAGAAATGTCCGTTTTCCAGATGTTTATTCCTTGAAGCCCCCTCCCCTGCTTCAGTCTGATCCCTTGGGTAGGCTTTGGCTGGGGACCTCATCCTGTGGGGACCCCAGAGGAGGGCTTCATGGCAGACCCCGAGCAGCAGCACAGTGTTCAGGTGCGACACAACTACTGCAACTGGGTGAATGAGACATGTCCTCTTTGTGCTGGCTCTAACGGGAAGTGCAGGAATGAGATCAAATATTTACAACAAAAAACACTTTACACCCTATTATTCTAGCTACAGCTGATGCCATGGATTGGGCAGCCCCAGCTTGTGTTTTCCTGCAGAGCCCCCCCAGCTTCCCTTGTTTTACATCTAAAAAACTACAGTGTGCAGGATTTTCGTCCTGCCTCTCCTACAACACACCCGCAGGAGATAACCCTGGGACAGAAAAGCTCTGGGAGCTTTAGCTGTGGGGCTGGGAGTTTTGCTCCCCATCCCCAGTGTCTGGAGACCTGCGTGGCGCAGGGGCTGGCTGAGCCCCCATGGCGGATGCTCCCTGCCAGCAGCTTCAGCGGATTTTGCCCCCGGGCTGGGGCTGAGGCTCTTCCTGGTGCTCAAGAGCAGGAATCTGCAGGACCATCCCTACCGGCTTGCACACCAGGAGGGGAAAAATAAAAGACCTTTGGGGTTTTGCTCTGCAGTGACCCAGTGCCATACACAACTTGGGGCAGCAGACACCTGCCCCCAGCAGCCATGGAGGGGCATCGA